TTCTCACACGCATCCTCCACCTAGGGTTGCCGCTGCTACCGCCGCCGGCTCCTCTGGCACCGGCCACCGGAAAAAGTCGTCCTCATGAGACCCGCTTCGCGGATGCTGTTGCTCCTTGCAAGGCATGGCGCTACTCCTTCCAGCCAACCCAGGCTCCTCCTCTACAACCCGAAGTGGCACTCACTCCAACTCTGCAAGTATATTCTTATATTCTTGTGTGTTGGTGATGATACAATCTGTGGATTTGTGTGTTGGTGATGACTGATCTATGGATTTGTAAACTTTTATGTGATGATAATGATTGACCAGATATCAGCATTGGCTGTATGGAAATAGGAGGATCTGCTTCTCAGACATGGGTAGTTGTTGTCAGCGAGGGAGGCCGTGGCCCTCCCCTGCTCGTCGATGAGCAGAAGAAAACCACTTCCTGATTCCCCCTTCCCATGGAGGATCGTGACTAGGTTCTGTTTAATTTCACCTCGCCTCGTTTTGTAGCCTGCTTGTGCACAAACGTACTGATGTGTGTCTTCCTCAAGATGCTTTGGGTTTGTGCGTGTGCTAGCGCTGATCAGTGGTTGTTGATTTCTCCAATGAGGTCGCCTTTGTCTCTATTTCCAGTGATCCGGCTCTCGAATTCTGTTCAGATATGGTGGTTCATCCTCTGCGCCTGTCCTTGTACAATATTTCTGGTATGGTGTTATTTTGTTGGCTTCATTTGCTTGTGCTCCCTTGTTGCCTGCGTGTAATGGTGACACGGTGCCTTAGCTTTAACTGACTAGCTAAGTCAGTTAGTAAATCGGACAGATCTTCTATTGAGTAATATGTACTTGTCCCTTCAGATGTATGGCACACATTTTATTTCAAAAGCAGAATTGATTGATTGAAGAGCTACAGACTATCTTAGTTTTGTATGTGTTTTCAACGTTGAAAATAGTGTGTCTAGGGCACATCTAGATGTGCTCTAGTTATTGCACATCTAAGTGAGTGAGTCAAGCATAAAGAAGAAAAGAAAATAGAAAAAGGAAATATCTACACGAATCTCAACGTAAGACCAATGACATAAGACTTAGATGTGCAATACTTATGGCACATCTAGATGTGCTTTAGCAAAACTGTATGTAAAATCCTCCGGTGTGTCTAGCAAAGCTCTTATCTTTTGCGGGGGACCTTCAACGATCATCTTTTGTTCCCTTACAACAAGTCAAGTAATGTGATCAACCATCGCCCCAGGTCACGCGTTGGGCGCCCCCTATGGATTACTTTTCAATTATCTTTAAGCGTTTTGGGGTTTAGATGGATTTTTTGTTTTTTTTTCCTTTTTAGTTTTCGTCGGGTTTTCCCCAGGTCCTCGAGAGAAAAATCATGAAATTTTTTCTGTGTGAAAAAAATTATACTTCCACGAGAAGCACCGATTTTCTTTTCATGGAGACATAAATTTGCTTTTGTGAGATGTACAGTTGTGCCTCTCAAAAAGGAAAAATAATCATGATTTTTTTGGCTTTTTTTCTTCCACGAGAAGCATGGATTTTCTTATCATGGAGCACAAATTTGCTGCCGCGAGAAGCACAGTTGTGCCTTTAAGGGACGCACGGTTGTGTTTCTCGTGGAAGACATGCACAAATTTGTTTCCGTGAAAACAGATTTGCTTCCACGAGAAGCACAACTATGCCTCTTGAAAATGGGGAAATTGTGAATTTTCTTTTTTGCACGTTTTTCTTTTGCTTCTGTAAGAAGCATAATTGTGCCTCTGAAAAAGACAAAAAATTCATGAACTTTTTTGTTCAGCATGAATTTTTTGCTTTCATGAGAAGCATAGACACGACTTTGCTTTCACGAGAACCACAACTGTGCCTCTCGAAAAGACAAAAAGTGGGGGAAAAAGTCGTGCTTCTGGCTCCGGTATTTCTTCCTTTTTTCAAACTTCTCATGGAAAAGAGTTCAGCAAAACCTATTACACATAGGAACTAGTTTCAAAGATCTCGACACAAGAAATTCAAGCTAAAAACGGTTTAGGATTTAGACGCAAGGTTCAAGATATAAAATATTTTAAATAAAAAATTTATAAAAAACCTCACAGGATGCGACAAGTGGTGCACATGCAGTGCGCCACTTATCAGCGCGTGAGAAGGTGAGAGACATTTGCAACGGGTAACCCTTAACTCCTGATTTCATGCAAATGGACGCGACTATGCGTCGCTTATAGCAAGACGTATAAAGCTGTCGCATACAGCCTCACTTTGATCATTTGTGTGGGTGGACCGGCCCATTAGTGAGATACAGCTGCTCGCTCACGTCCCTCCGGTCGATAAATTGCACTTTCAGAAAGCAAGGAGAAGGCTTATGTCTCGACAAAGAAAGCTATGTGAATGATCATTGTCAAGACAAATACCAACACAATACAAACATAATAATTTGCATACAGTTGCCGAAGAATATCCTTCAAATAGTTCGATTAACACGCATCCGAGTATGGACAAGAACAAGTATGGACAAGAACATAAATGTCCGAGTGTTTCCCAGATTTTGACTCTTGTGGCTGGCCGGATAACGTGTTTTACTGAAGGAAATATGCCCTAAAGGCAATAATAAAGTTGTTATTTATATTTTTTTATATCATGATAAATGTTTATTATTCATGTTAGAATTGTATTAACCAGAAACTTAGTACATGTGTGAATACATAGACAAACAGAGTGCCACTAGTTTGCCTCTACTTGACTGGCTCATTGAATCAATGATGGTTATGCTTCCTAACCATAGACATGATTTTTCATTTGATTAACGGAATCACATCATTAGTGAATGATGTGATTGACTTGACCCATCCGTTAGCTTAGCACGATAATCGTTTAGTCTGTTGCTATTGCTTTCTCCATAACTTATACATGTTCCTATGACTATGAGATCATGCAACTTTCGAATACCGAATGAACACTTTGTGTGCTACCAAACGTCACAACGTAACTGAGTGATTATAAAGGTGCTCTACAGGTGTCTCCGGTGGTGTTTGTTGAGTTGGCATAGATCGAGATTAGGATTTGTCACTCCAATTGTCGGAGAGGTATCTCTGGGCCCTCTCGGTAATGCACATCACTGTAAGCCTTGCAAGCAATATGACTAATGAGTTAGTTGCGGGATAATGCATTACGGAATGAGTAAGAGACTTGCCGGTAACGAGATTGAACTAGGTTAATATACTGACGATCGAATCTTGGGCAAGTAACATACCGATGATAAAGGGAACAACATATATCGTTATGCGGTATGACCGATAAAGATCTTTGTAGAATATGTAGGAACCAATATGAGCATCCAGGTTCCGCTATTGGTTATTGACCGGAGACGTGTCTCGGTCATGTCTACATAGTTCTCGAACCCGTAGGGTCCGCACGCTTAACGTTCGGTGACGATCGGTATTATGAGTTTATGTATTTTGATGTACCGAAGGACGACTATATTTGGACATCGGAATGGTTCCGGATGAGATCAGGCATATACCGGAGTACCGGGAGGTTACCGGACCCCCCCGGGAGGTATATGGGCCTTATTGGGCCTTAGTGGGAGAGAGGGAAAAGGAGCAAAGGAGGGGGCGCCCCTCCCCCCAAGCCCAATCCGAATTGGGAGGCCCCCCTTTCCTTCCTCCTTCCCCCCCTTCCCTCCACTCCTAGTCCAACTAGGGAAGGGGGGGAGTCCTACTCCCGGTGGGAGTAGGACTCCCCTTGGGGCGCGCCTAGGAGGCTGGCCCCCTCCCCCTCCTCCACTCCTGTATATACGGGGGAAGGGGCACCCCATAGACACACAAGTTGATCATTGATCTTTTAGCCATGTGCGGTGCCCCCCTCCATCATAATCCACCTCGGTTATATCGTAGCGGTGCTTAGGCGAAGCCCTATTTCGATAGCAACATCATCACGATCATCACGCCGTCGTGCTGACGAAGCTCTACTGAATCGTGAGTTCATGGGACGTCACCGAGCCGAACGTGTGCAGATCGTGGAGGTGCCATACCTTCGGTGCTAGATCGGTCGATCGTGAAGACGTACGACTACATCAACCGCGTTGTCATAACGCTTTCGCTTACGG